TTGGCCCCTGAAGTCTCTTGGGCATGATGCTACCCTGCCCCATGTTTCTGTGGCCATAAATGCCCTCCTTCCCTCCATCCTGACTTCAGGCCAGTGGGGTTCAAAGGAAGAGGCCCAGGTGCAGAGCCAGGCATGGGTGGACATTCCCCAGGTGCTGACCTCCCTGGCCAACCAGTCCATGGACCTGAGTGCCCTCACGCTGCCCGATTAGTGACAATGCCCTCTTCTTCCCAGTCTGCCAAGTTTGTGGGCAGGCCTGGGTTCAAAAAGCTTCTCTCTGCTCTGGCCCCTCCCAGGCCTGCCTGCCAGTGGAACATGCCTATCTTACCCATTTCTTTACTGTTCTCAGCGGGAGGTTTATAGAGCCACCAGGGGGATCATATCTGTCTACCAGGCCTGTGTCATAGACATAGGTCTTGGGAAAGTCAGGGGTCATGTGCACCTGTTGGGACAGCTGCTATTTCTCCCCTCAGTTCCCCTGCATATGGGCCATGGCCTGGTAGGTGGCTGTCCCCCCACCTTGGAGAATGTGGAGTGGAGGAGGAAGCTCAAGCAAGGGATCTGCTTCCTGCCCTCCCGTTGGGCTCAATTGGAAACGGGTACCCACCTGTGCCTGCCTTGCCCTCTCCCAGGTGCAGCAGGGGGCTGAGCCCCTTCCCTGACCTGTAGGTGTTGATTTGAGGCTTCCTACGAGTCTAGTGTTGGGAACATCCTGGTGCTTTCCAGGCTTCCTGCCCCTAGGGAATGTCTGGCTCCCCAAGGCCTGGGCCTCTTCAAACATGGGGCTGACCCCTGGGTGCTGGAGGGGGAGGGGGAGGGAGAGTTCTGCCTTCCAGATTCAGATCCAAGGACACCCCTGCCATGGCTGTAGCTGTGGAGTCAGGTGGGGTGTGAGGCCCAGAAGGTGGGCAGAAAGATCACGTTAGGGTTGACAGTTCCTGGTGGCAATTTCCTCTGAAGTAGGCAAGCTTCTCAAAGGGACAGGGTCACACTTGACCTCCTACCACTGGGGAGGCACCCACCTCCCAGGGGCTTGCTAAGCTCTCCGTGCACAGAGGCAGTCTTGGAGGCAACATTACAGCAGGGCTGAAGCCCGGGCCGGCACTGAGACATGCATTTCTGTGTGTCTTTTTATTTAGCTGGAGAATGGGGCTGCTCCATCCCAGGGTTGTTATACAGATCTAAGTAAGGCTGATTCTGGGCAATGGATGGGGGTCCTGAGCACCCCATTTGGCTCCCAGGATACTCACTTGCCTGTGTGGGGGAGCTGGGATCCCCTTCCCCTGAGCCAGATCCACCCCTATGCTGCATACTCTGGCAGTGGTTGTCCAACTGGCCACTTCTCCAAGTGGACCCCCCTCCTTGTGTCTTACAGGCACCACTGCACCACATCAGAGAGGCCGTCCTAGCCCCATGGGCTCCCTTCTCACCCTGGGTGTGTGCCACCTCCTACAGCCACTGTGGTCACCGGTGTGTTTAAACTCTAGCTTCGTGCAAAGCCTGGTGTGAAGCTGGGCAGGCTGGTTTGCAGAGGGTCAGGAACCCACAGCCTGGCGAGGGGCAGGGTCTGGCTTCCTGAGTTCAGCCAGCCTCAACCCCAGGGCCCCTTTCACTGTCACCCTCTACTGTCACCCCACTCTGTTCCCTCTCACAACACCAGCCTGGGTTTCTGTGGTGACGGGGGTGGCTTTAGAAAACATAACCCTCCCTCCTAGGACAAAGAGCCTGAATGGGTATGTCCTAGGCATCATGACAGCCTGGGCCTTGAGTCAGGAGTTGTGGCACCTGGAGAGGCTACCCTGGGTTATATGTGTGTCTCAGGCTGGTCTTTGGGGTGGTGGGGTGGGACCCTTTAGGGCTTTGAGAAGCTTGCCTACTCCAGAGGGAATTGCCACCAGGAGCTGTCAACTCTTTTGTGATCTTGCTGCCCACCTTCTTTGGTACCTTGGTACAGTCCATTTCTGACCAGGTAAGACCATGGTCTGGGCTCCTCACAGGATCTGCTAACTTTCATGCAGGGATGGAAGCCTTTGGGTGGGGCTACACCTGACTCCCCTATCCTTTCAGGATCCAAAGGCCATCCCTGGTATCACCACAGCCAAATCCCTCTTTGTGTCTTGGTGAGCCCAGGAGTTGCTAGAACATTCTAGGTTAAAACTTCTGCCTATCCTGATGTTCCACCAGGGGACCACCAAACCTGCTTTCCCCTCCATATCCTTAGTCCCTGGCCAGCAAGAGGCTGCTGAGGTCAGTCCTGGTCCAAGACTTCCCTAGCCTGGGCGGCCTGCTCGGAGTCTGGTTTGCCACTGAGACTCCTCGTCCTCTCTGGCAGATCTACCTCTCAATGCCTCTGATTCTTTGTGGCAGGTGGGCCTCACGTTAGCCCCATTGCCCAAGCCCTCTAGCCTGAGGCTACCTAGCTCTGAGAGTCAGTCTTCTGCCCCCACTTCCTCTTCCTGCAAGCCCTCCTCCCTCCCCACAATAAGGATGCTGCAAACTCATGTCTAAAACTAAAAGAATTTTTTTTTTTTTTTTAGTCCTGGAGATTGAACACAGGGCTTCACATATTCTAGGCAAGTTCTCTACCACTGAGCTACATCCTCATCCCCCCAACTCCAACCTTTTTTTTTTTTTTGGGTACCAGAGATTGAACCCAGGGTGCTTAACCACTGAGCCACATCCCCAGCCCTATTTTACATTTTATTTAGAAACAGGGTCTCACAGAATTGCTTAGGGCCTCACTAAGTGCTGAGGCTGGCTTTGAACTTGCAATCCTTCTGCTTCAGCCTCTAGACTCCTTAGGATTAAAGGCAATTTTTTACACCAAACAGAAGTCTGTTTCCTAACTTTTCTATACCCCAAAAACATGAGTCGAGCTTCTTGAAGATATGAATACCTCCAGCCCTGTCCACTTTCCTGTTTTTTTTTTTTTTTTTTTTTTCTCAGTACCAGGGATTGAACCCAGGGGCACTTAAACACTGAGCCACATCCCCAGCCCCATTTTGTATTTTATTTAGAGACAGAAAGGTCCTAAGCAACTCAGTGAGACCCTAGGTTGCTGAGACTGGCTTTGAACTCACTATCTTCCTGCTTCACCCTCCCAAGCTGCTGGGATTACAAGTGTGTTGCACTCACCTGGCTGAGATGCTGACCCACCTCCTGTGAATGAAGGTGACCTGCAAAGTGCTATGAGAGGCACGCAGGGCTGCTGTTCCCACCATGTTTCATTCCCTGAGATGCTGGGAAATCCTCAGGGCCTGGCCCTCATGGCCGCCCTCTCCAGGGACACTGGGGACATGTACACACAGGACTGGATCCTTGCCTCTTCTTCCGGACATCCCTGTTTACACCGTTTGTGTGAGTACCTGCTCCCAGTCCTCCTATGAGCCCGGTTCCTATCCTGGTAGAGTGAGAGGTGGCTGCGGGCCTGGCAGATAGACACCATCACTGAGCCTACATCCTTGTGCTTTCCTGGTCTAGCTGTGTGTGCTCCAGAGAGGCTTGTGCCCTTGACTTCCAAGTCTGTAGTTAGCAGGACGCCTGCTGCTTGGAGAGGTGGGAGGTACCTGGCCCCACAAGAGCACAGAATCAAAAGCAAATGTTTCCCAGACTTTATGCATCATGGGATGAGGCAAGGGGGTGCCTGGGGTTAAAGCTCAGCTGGCCTCCCAGCAAGGTGACAGGGGATTGCTTTCCCATCCCCACCTCTGCCCAGGCCCTGAGAGTCCAGTCTTTGGGAGTCCCAGGAGGGAAGACACCCTCTTGTGGTGTGACCCTGGGCTTTCCTCTCTGGGTTTCTGGGAGATGCTGGAGCCCTGGCTGCTCTCCACAGGTCTGAGGCATTGTCTGTGGAGCCTGGATAAGATGAAGCAGGGAGAGGCCTGGAGTTTGGTTTTCAGTGAGGGGAGGATGTCATGAGGGGTCACCTGGTGAGAAGAGAGGGAAAAGCCTGGAGTCAGGAACTGGAGGCTCCTAGAACAGGGCAGCAGTCCTGTAAGATATGGAAAATGACAAATCCCAGACTCATGTGGCCTGGGAAGAGAGAGTGAGGGAGAAGGCAACACGCTGATAACACTGATCCTCTCCCAGTGACAGGACATCCAGCCAGCCTAGAATGGCAGTCCCTGGAGGAAGCCAAAGTATTGATCCTTCCCCAAATAAATCCTTTCCCAGTGACAGGAAAATGGGACCCTGGAGGGAAAGAGATAAGCACTGAATGCTGACCCCAGACCCTCCATCTTCTCCAAGTAAAAATATTGCCCAGTAAAACAAATGTCACATTCTCACAATCTGTTTCCTGAGTGCCCAAACTGACACGCTCTGTCAATAATTAAGTTACCTCTCAGCATAACATATATAAGCACAGAGTCCTCCTCTGGCCCGTGGCTCATTTCTCATCAGGAAAGTGCATCCACCAGATGCCTGACACCATTGCTGAATAAAGGCTTTGCTGATCCGTGAAGTCTGCACCCAGCTCGGTCATTTTGTGCTAACAAGCCCTCCATGTCTTGGCCCTGCGTAGAGGGGAAGGATGGGCAGGAGAGCAAGGGAAGCTGAGTTGGGGCCTTTTACAGGGACTTGTGGTGCCACCGATGGGGTCCTCGGGTGGAGGGAAGCAAGACCCTCTCCTCACATCTCCATTTCTCTATTGATTCTCCTGGCCTCCTGTAGCCCTAAGTTCTGTTCCTGGCATCTAGGAATGAACTGGAGGTAAGTAGTTTTTTGGAGGAGTCTGCTGGACCACCCCTGGGCCTCTGCCTGGATAGGGCAGGGGCATGGCTGGTGTATTGACCTCCCCACCTAGGCACTGCAGCAACGGTGCCTGGGGACTGCTCATGGGAGCCAGGCTTCGGGACAGTCCCATCCCCAGTGTAAGCACCTCAGGGCTTTCAGGGAGCTGTGCTCCCCCTGCCTGGCTGAGAGGGCCTCTGTGCCTTGCAGTGTAGCTACTATTAGTGCATGCTTTGGTCCCCCAGGCTGGACACTGTGAACCGGGCCTTCTACTTCAACACCTGGGGCTGTAAAGAAGGGTGGGGTCAAGGGGTCAAGCCCAGGCCCCTGGCTGAAAACCCAGCTCTATCTGGCACATGAGGGGACCCTAGGTTCAGTTAGAAAGTGAGCTCTGAGCCCAAAGGCTCAGTCTGCCCTCCAGGAAGGAGCCCCTGCCCAGCCAGATACTTGCCAGGAAAAGGATGAGTGTGACAAGCAGGAGGTTCAGGATGAGGAGCGTGGAGCTGGGGGTGCCAGGCTGACAGGAGGCTCCGGAGCTGCGGGTGCCTGCAGCAGAGAGCAGGAAAGCAGGGGCTGGGCGGGTCCCCATCCTCCCAGCCCTGGGAAGGCGAGGTCCAGCCCACAGAGAATCTCAGGTCAGGTGCCTGGCCCAGAAGATGCTGCAGGAACAGAAGGGCTGAAGCAGGGAGCACTTTGGGGGATTCCTGGGAGCAGGAAGGGCTGGGCCTGAGCCTGGGGGCTGAGACCTAGAAGAAGAAAAGGAAGGCTGGGGCAGCAAGCCAGAGAGCCCACGGGAGGAGGCAGATGGATGGAGGACATGGGCAGAGGGAAGAGGCCTGCAGGAAGTAGGGAGGCACTGACCGAGGGCTAGGGTGACCATCTCTACCCGGAGGCCCTCATCTTTCTGCAGGATGTACAGGGCCTGATGCACGCTGTCCTGAATGAGGGTCTGGGCTGGTGTGGCCCCAAAGAAGATGGCACCTACTTTGGCAGTCAGTGGTTCTGGCCTAGAAGAAGGATCCACAGTCTTCAGGCCACTGAGAAACCTGGGATGACTCGGGGAGGGCCTCTCTTCCAGCCTCCTGCTCCCACCCGGAGCCCAGGCACTCACTGGAACTCCTCCACCACCACTTGGCCAAAGTTCTGCAGAGACCTGAGCCCCCTGGTCAGCTGAGGGTCAGGAGAGGAGGAAGAGGGTCACAGCTCTGCTGAAGCCTGGTCCAGCGCCCACCCCCGCCTCCCTCTTCCTGCTTCCTTCCATCCCACCACTTCACCCATCTCGTTAGCTGCTGCCGAAGCTTCTGGGCCTCAGGGCTGGTTTTGTCCTTCAAGGCCTTGGTGAAGGGTTGGCCTAGGATCTGCAGCCACATCTCATACAGCACCAGCTCTGCCTTCTCCCCTAGAGTAAAAGGTGGAGTGTGGGTGACATCTATCAGGGGCCTCGTCTCCTAGGCATCCTGGGACAGGACCCACATTCTGCCTCAGGCCACATGCCCAAATCCTACTGCAAACTTCAGTTCAAGAGCCAAAGCTCCCTGCTTTTGTGTGGCCCATGAGCTAAGGGTGCCCCCCCCCCAGTACTGGGGACTGAACCCAACATTGCTTAACCATTGAGCTACTCTCCCCCACCTTTTTTATTTTGAGACAGGATCTGACCAAGTTGCTTAGGTCCTTCTAAGTTGCTGAGGCTGGTCTCAAAATTCCAATCCTCCTGCCTCAGACTCCCAAATTGTTGGGATCACAGATGTGTGCCCTCTCACCAGGACAGCTTTTGCATTCTTAAGTGGTGGGAAAAGTAGAGCATCTTATGACATAAAAATTATGTGACATACACACATTTCTATATCCATAAATAAGGTTTCACAGGAGCATGACCAAGCTCACTGTTGTCTACGGCTGTATCCTCACCACAGGGGTGGACAGTGTGACCCCTCTAGCTCATGGAATGGCCAATGAGAGGCGCTAGAAGCAGAGTAGGAGACTGGTTTTCTTTCACCTGTCCCCGCTCAGGGGAGAACTGCAAAGAGTTTTTGCGCTTCCCAGGTGGGGCAGTGGAGGGGCTGGTAGACCAACAGCACAGCCTTCTCCACAAGGGCAGGGGGTGCTCTGCTGTCTGATAATGGGGTGTGACGGGTCCTGCCGGTTGGGAAGACTGGCAAAGGAAGGCTGCCCATATGCTGGGGGATGGCTCCCTGGGGAGTGGTTCTGGCCCCTGGAGAGCTGAGTCCCAAGCCAACCTGTCTGCACTCTGGGCCCGCTGGCACCTGATAACTTCTCTGGAGGGACTCAAGGGCAGGACTGGAAGGAGAAGCACTGATCTCCCCCAAGAGGCCACAAGAGGCTCCAGCACTTTCTGGGCTGAGGAACCTCACAAGAGCAGTTCCAGTCTGTGTGGCTGGAGTGCATGGAGTGGACCCAGAGCGCTCTCAGTGTGAGTGATGAATGGCCATCTCTTTATATGGCACAAGCCTGCCTAAATGTGCCTATAGGAGGGGCTCAAGGGGACATAAGCTTTCTTGCTGATGGGCTGAGCTGAGCAGTTGTCTCCTAACTTGCGACAGATCTTGTTAGTTTTTGGTGGTGCTGGGATGGTACCCAGGTCCTCATGCATGCTTGGCAAATGCTCTCTCATTGAGCTACATCCACACCCCCAGATCCTGTCACTTAGGATCCATTGAGATCCTGGACAACGAAGGAATTGCTCATCTTGTCTCACTCACCCAAGTTTCTCGCCTCTATCCAGTTCCCCCACCCAACGCTCCATGTCTGCTTTCTCCCTTGGCCCTGGCACTTGAACTTTGCTGTTGAAAGGAAGTTCTGCCTACCTGCAGAAAGGGAATGAGGAGGCCTAAAGAGGTAGGACACTGCTGACCAGAGACAACAGGGACCCTGCTCTGACTCACCATTGGCCACAATGCTGGATTTCTGGAGGATGGGATCCATGATGCTGTGAGCCAGGTGATTGGCCAGGCCTCTGAGGTGGGTGGGGATAGAGTTCTGGAACTTGTACTCCATGGACACTCTCACCCATTGGTCTGCGTTACTAGGGAGGAACAGTGGACAGTGCCAGGGTCACGGGCTCTGTGCCAGCATGGGCGTCTAGAAGCAGGCATTGAGCACCCATGTGCACACCCTCAGGCGGGAGCTTCCTACCTCCAAGGGCAGAGCTCCGTGAGGCTAGAGGGAGCTACCAGGACAGAGTCCTCCCCTGGGTGGCCCCCAACTCAATGCTTCCATGTCCTAGCTCTGGGTCAGGGATGGAGCTGCCCCTGCTACTCCAGAGAGGAGCCCCCAAGAGAGGGGCAGAGCAGGCTGGGTGGGCAGGAACAGGACCTGACCCACCTGAAAAGGAGCAGGGGGCCTTCCTGGGGATGCTCCTTGTAGAATCTCGACACCACAGGGGTGACCTGCAGGGAGTCCTGGAGGTCAGTGTCCGGATGATCTCCAGAGCTGGCCAGGAGCTGTCTCTCCTGAGACCCAGGCGGGGTGGGGCAGGATCTGAGAGCCTCCTTGCACAAGGCCTCCTGGGCTGGGGTATCTGGTCACAGAGCCTGGTCACATGTTCCCCTGAAGAGCTGTGTCCTCCTCACAACCCCACCCGACCCTGCCCACCCCCCCACAGGGCCACGCTGGGTGCTGCCTCTGTTTTCGCAGCACCTGTTTTCAAGGAAGGCAGGGTAAGCACGCCAGCCCCCAGACACCGGGAGAGCCACCTCACCAGGTGGAGGATCTGGTCTTCCAGCAGGACAAAGGGAGCAGAACCAGGCAGGATGAGCTCGGGCAGGAAGGGCTTCATGGCCGTGAAACTGATGCAGATGGTCTCCAGAGCTAAGTCGGTGAGGGGGGACCCTGCAAGCCACAGGGGGAGCTGGGGAGGCCCCGGGAGCCTCCTCTCCCACCACCTCCTGGCACTCCCTGTGGGCCTGGCACAGAGGCCTGGGGACAGGCAGGACTCACCGGAAGCAGCAAGGCTGCTCTCATCCAGGAACAGGTGCCCCAGCATGCCCCTGGAGGCCTTCACTTGGCGGTACAAAATCCAGAGGACTTCCCGGGCAGAGGGGCCCAGAGCCCTGCCCCCGAACACAAGGGAGGCCTTTACAGCTCCAGAGCCAGGCCTGTGGACAGAGCCATGTCTTCACTGGGGCCCCAGGAGGTGACGGGGACCAGTGTCCCGAGGGAGGGATGTCTATAGGGGAAGCCATTGATTGTACAGAGAAGTCTTCTTGTATGACTTGAAGCAGGTCCTGTCACCCCTCTGGGCCTCAGTGTCCTCCTTAGTCAAATGGGGATGATGAGCCCTTTTCTGGATGACTCTGGTGAAGCCTGAATGACCCCATCAGGAGAGCACAAAGCAGGTGCTCAGTGAAAGCAAGTTCACCTGGACACCACAGCAAGGTGGCTTTCATGAGAGCACTGTGAATCCTGCCCAGGCAAAGCCCGGGGCAGGGTTACCCGGCCAGGCTGCAGCTGGCTTTGAGCTCTCAGGATGCTAGTCTGAATGACACTGAGAAAACTATCTTTGGCTTCATCATAAGGAGCAGGAGTTCTGGAGACAGGGAGGTCTGAGGTTTTTTGTTTTTGTTTTGGAGGGTGGTATTGAACCCAGGGTCACGTGATCATAAAGCTCTATCCTCTAGCCCTTTATTAAATTTTGAATCAGGGTCTCACTAAGTTTCCCAGGCCAACCTCAAACTTGCAATCCTCCTGCCTCAGCCTCAGGAGTCACTGGGATTACAGGCATGTGCCCCCTTTCCCAGCACGTCTGGGGAATTTCTGAAAGCCTGTGGGATAAACCAGCTGGTCATGTTCTATGGAGACAGCTGGCCTCAGCAGGGGTCTGAAGAAGCTGTTAGAGAAAGGCCTGGAAACAAGTAGGCTCAAGATCCAGAATGACTTTTTTCCTTCCCTTGACTACCTGAGCCATCTCAAGGGTGGGGAGATAAAAGTTCTGCTCAGGCCCAGGGCAGGGGAGTCAAAGGGGACTCCAGTTCATTAAGTGGGTAAGCTTTCTAACCAGCTAGGACGTTGGCCTGGCTAGATAGTGAGCTCCCCATCACTGAGAGTATTCGAGCTTCTAGATTCCTTTGTGTAGGGGATTCTAGGTGCCCCTGAGCTCACTAAAGTGGGGCTGTGGCGACTTGGACATCCTCAGCCTCGCTCATGAAATCACGACTGGTTCACCGCTGAATCGGCCACGATCACCCCAGCATCCTCTTTCCCTGGATGCTCAGAATCAGAAAGCACCTAGGGGAGTGGCATCTCTTCGCACACTCTGTCCTGGGAATAAGGCACTTGTTCTTGCTGCCCTGCCTTCCCACTGTGCCCAGACAATGTCCAGCATTCCTGTCCAAACCCTGCAGCTGGAATCAGGCTCACAGTGGACAGGTGGCCATCTGAGGTCACACAGCACAACCAGGGGAAGAACCACAGTGGGGTCTCTTCCTGGCCCCTGTGGCTCCTGGACACAATGGGCGATGGGGGACTGAGTAGTCTGGAAGAGTGCCCTGTGGCTGGAAGGCATAGATCAGCTGGGTGGGGGGCTGAGAGCCAAATGCACTCACCTGAACTCCAGGATACAGGCGTCCTGGAAGCTGGGGAAGGCCCTGTGGTAGATGAACTGCAGCTGTGGACAGACAGAGCCGTGGAGGCTGGCAAGCCTCCCCTCCACCACCATCATCCCTGACCTGGCCTCTGCAGGGGCCTCCTCACTGACCCCCTGCCCTGCTGGGCCCTACCCGAGCTGTTCCCTACGCTGTGGCCAGAGACCTGCCCATCACCTCTAAAACCTGTCCAGGGAGCTGCAAATGCCTCCCTGGGCTCTTCCCTCTCTGCTATTGGTTTTCTTGAAAAATCCCTCTCCAATCCAATCATCCTGGGCTCTGCACTCCAAAGCTGCCACCTAGGCCTCTCTGGCCTGTATTACAGTCCCTTCTCCTGTTCTCTCTCCCACTCCTGCCCCAAGTCACTCTCCATGGAGCCCCCGTGCCATCTCTGACCACCTGTCCATCTGGAGGTCCTCACATATACTGTTCCCTCTGCCTACAAGGCCCCTCCCTGTTTAATCTGACTACCTTATCTCTACCCCACTTAAAAATTTCCTCTCTGAAGCCAGGTCTACAGGTTTACACACCTGTAATCCCAGTGCTCAGGAGGCTGAGGCCGGGGGATCACAAGTTCAAAGCCAGCCTCAACAACTTAGCGATGCCCTATGCAACTCAGTGAGGCCCTAAGCAACTCAACAAGACTGTATCTAAATAAAAATTATTTAAAAAGGGAGAGGGATGTGACTCAAGGGTTAAGACTGCTGGGTTCAATCCCTGGCATAGCCCCTACTCTCAAAAATTTTCCCCCTCTCAGAAAGTTTTCTCTGGGCAACCCTCTGACCCTGGCCATGGGCTTAGCCTGTCTGTTCTTCATGTAGCTTATCGTGATTGTAAGCACATTCACATTTGTTTAAGCATTCCTTCTGTCTCTTTCCCCCTGCAGACTGGAGGCTCCCTGAGGGTAGGACCACGGTGCACTCAGTATAGTAAGCACTCAAGGAGTTATATGAAGAGATGAATTAGTTGAATGGAGGCATGAACCAGTGAACTAGTGGACACTCATAATTCCTCCTGGATGACAGGCAAGAACTGGCACTCTCTACCAAGGCACCTTCACGCCTGTGGTTCCAGAATCATGGCAGGTGGATTTGGTTTGGGGTCCAGAAACTGTGCCTTCTTTGCCAGGGCATGAGGGCCCACAGGTCTCTGATGAGGCTTTGGGCCAAGAAAAAAGTCAGCCAGACCTGCATTTCTAGCTCAGTGGTAGAGTACTTGCCTAGCATGTGTGAGGCATTGGGTTCTATCCTTAGCACCACATACAAATAAATAAATAAAATAAAAGTATGAAATAAATACAATAACATTATATATTTAAAATTTTAAAAAGTCAGACAGCAGGGTGCGGTAGTGCACGCTTGTAATCCCAGCGGCTGGGAGGCTGAGACAGGAGGATCGTGAGTTCAAAGCCAGCCTCAGAAAAGCAAGGCGCTAAGCAACTCAGTGAGACCCTGTCTCTAAATAAAATTTAAAATAAGGCTGAGGATGCAGCTCAGTGGGTGAGTGCCCCTCAGTTAATCCCCATACCCCCCCCCCCCCTCCAAAAAAAAAAAAAAGCCTCCTCTGATTTCCCCGTGGCAGGGTCTCTGCAATGGGGATGTTTTCTCCCTGCATCTACTCCCCAGAGGTATTTCTGCCTGGGCTCCCCCTTCCTGCTCACCGCTTACTCCACATGTCTCTCCTGCACCCCAAGAAGCACAGGGGTGATTCTCATTGATTTACGGGGCATTCCCAGCTCAGCTCTGCGCCCAGCTGCCCCCAGGGAGCTTGTGCTCTGGACACAGCTCCGCATCCCTCCGCGCCCCTCCGCGCCCCTCTGTGCCCTTCCGCGCCCCTCCGCGCCGCACCCAGCAGTGGCCTCACCTCATGGTGGACGTGCTCGTTCAGCAGCCGGTGCTCCAGGGCCACAGGGTTCCACTGTGAAGCCGAGAAGGCTTCATTGGAGATCTTGAAGGTCACGTAGTGGGTTATGTAACTGGGTTCTGGGGCGGAGGATGTTGAGTCCTGCAAAGAGACAGCCTGGCCAGGTCAGCACCTGCAGGGACCCTGGGGGAGCCAGTGCTAGGGGCAGCGGAGGGAAGACTGGAGGAAGATGGGACGGAGAGGGTGGTCGTGGGGGCTGGGCTGGCAGAAACTCTCCACCCAGGCCGAACTGTCCCTTGAGGAGTGGCTGGCTGTGGAACTGTTGCGGGTAGCAGGGCAGGTGTGAGGGGAGAATCTGGGGTCGAAGGCACTGGCGCAGACTCCAAGCGCGGAGGAGGACTTCTGGCTCTGGTGGTGAGGGAGGAAACTGGGCCAGGACTGGGGATGGTGGTGGTGGTGACAGGGAAGGTGACAGTGACAAAGATATGGCTGATGGGGAGGGAGACAGGGGCAGTGCTGCTGAGGGCTGTGGGGAGAAGAATGGCAATACTGAGGGCAATGGCCCCAGGGGACCACTGGGCCCCAGGCCAGGAGCCACAGCAGCTTGGGGTAGTCTTGAGCCTGCTACAAGGGCAGGGGAGGTCATGTCCAGCCCTGACAACTCTGGAACTGCAGGGGCAAGGGACTCTGTGTCTGGCTGTGTGTTAGCCATTGACACAGCAGACTCAAGTCGGCCTGGGGACACCAAGGACACCAAGGACACCACCTTCCCTGGGCCCCTTGGTGCCAATGTCAGAGATGGGGAGGCTTCTGGCCTGAAGAAACCTGCTGTTGAGACAGATGGCATCTGGACACTGGGAATGGGGGTATGCCTGACAGAGAGCCAGGCTGGTGGTCGTTGGGGTGTAGGAGTGGTGGGGACCAGGGGTGCTCTAGCTGACACCTGAGTTGGTCTAGGGGTGGCAGATGCCCCCAGGGTTGCAGAGGCAGGAGCCTGGACTGTCACAGACGATCCAGGGATCTTGAAGTTCTTCCCAGTCCCACGGACAGGAGAAGCCCACGACTGTAACATGGCAGTAATCTTCCGAGTTCCAGGGGCCAACATCGTGTCTGCAGGTTCAGTCACTAAGGCTTCTGACTGGGACTCAGTCAGTAATGATGATGCTGGGCCAGGTGTGGCCTTGCCCGAGACCTCAGTTTTTCCCATAGGGGTCAGCTGGTGTGAGGAGGAATCCAAGGACAAGTTTCCAGGAGCCTTGTGGCCCCCAGCTGCCCCCTGAGAGAGGGCTTCTGCCCTTTTCCCAGGTGCTTCCAATTCCCCACCAAGGAGGGAAACGATGTTATCAGAGGTCTTTGTCAGGACGCCTAGTGCCAGAAGTGCCCTCTTGCTGACTTGCAGATGAGATGCACCAGGGGCCAAGGGTGACTGGCCAGAGTCTTTGTGAGCAGAAGGAAGGGGCAGGACAGAAGCCGAGACCACCATGAAAGCTGCAAAACAGGAGAGACCCTGTTGGGACACTGTAGGGGCAGGGCTGGCCCACAGCCCCTGGGATCTCCCCTTCCCTCAGGAGCCTGGGAGATCCAAACCCTGGCTAACCTTTGCCCCCAAACCACTAAGCTACCCCAGGCAAATAACCTCCCACCAGATGTCCGATGCTAGCCCACCAGACAGCCAGCCCTGCTGCCCCCCAGGAAGGATTCTAGAGGTTAAGGGACTCACCCTAAGGGTCCCTCTCTCTGCGTCCCATCCCAATTTCACCCCATAGCAGGGCCCCTCCCTAAGGGAAGGTCCCTGGGCCCCAAGTGCTCCCCAGGAGCTGAGGCCTGGGGCTCTGGGCTGCTCTGTTTAAATGACTCCTGGGGCCCATCCCAAGGGTGCTGGAAGTGCTGCCCATTTCATCATGGCCAAGGCTCAGGCCTGACCACATTCCCAGCACTCAGAATGGTTCTTGGGGACTGGACAGGAGGGGTGCATATGTGGGGTCACCTCTGAACTCTGGGGATTAATCCCTCACCTATCTACAAGTGTGCACTGAACCCCATGCTGGCCTACCCTGCACCAGGTTCCTTCAGGTGGTGACCCTAGTGCTCTCAGGAAGCCCCAAGCCTGGGAACTAGGGACTTGGGCTCTGGCCCTTCCCTGGCATCCTCTGGGCTGGCCAAGGTAGACTCATACAAGAACAAGGAAGGTCAGCCCTGATGTGGGAGCCAGGGGGGCTCACCCCTGCCACCCCCCCAAGTGAGTGGGTAGGGACAAGGGCCTTACAGTCTAGCCTGCCTTGTCCCTACCCCCTTACCAGCCAGGAGAGTCGCAGCAGCTGGAAGACACTGCTCGCCCATGCTGAAGGCGCCTGCAGGCTCCCAAGGCTCCAGAGTCTGGCACAGACACGAAAATGTCCTCAGGTCTTGTGCTGTTGGGCCGCAGACTCTTGAAAGGGGACACTGTTGTCTGCCCCACCGCCTGAGGATGTATGGGCCGGAAAACACATTGAGGAAGAGTCTCAAGTCTGTTAGCCTCAGATGAGGTTGGTGATGGTGAGGGTGGGAATGTGGTGTGGGATGTGGCTGCCGTAACAGCAGAGTCACAGGAGGGTTGTGAGGATAGCGAGGTTATGATTCAGATGGTCGTGTGGAGAGCTCTGGGTGCAGGAGGACGGAGCATATGGATGATAGGTTGATATTTACGGCCACACCCCGTTCCCAACCCAGCTCCTGTCCCAGTTTGGTCCCTGCTCCCACTTCATCAGACTGAGTGGTGAGTCTAAAGAACCATTAAAAGAATTGTCCCCCTGCAATGGTCCCACACAGAATCCTGGTCACAGGCCTGCACTGGATGTGGGGTGTGTGGAGGATTTGGGGCTTTGGGTAGAGGGTCCTTCCCAGACCCTCTTGTCTTTTCTGCAGCTAACAGCGGTTCCCAATCATTCCTGCTTTCATTTCACCCCCCTGCCCCTCCCCTGCCCTGCTCCAGTCACAGGAGGGGGCTGGAGAAGCTTCATACTGCACACCCCTTGCTAGGGGCCAGTAGAAACAAGCTAGCTCGCTATCTGTCTGTCTGTCTATCTGTCTATCTATCTATCTATCTATCTATCTCCCCTTTTTCTTTCTTTCTTTCTTCCTTAAACGTACTAGGGATTGAATCTGTGGACACTCTACCACTGAGCTACATCCCCAGCTCTTTTTTTTATTTTGAGACAAGGTCTCACTAAGTTGAGGCTGGCCTTGCGCTTGTGATCCTCCTGCTTCAACCTCCTGAGTCACAGGAGTTACACGCATGAGTCCTTGGGAAGTTTTGGATGCCTCTCCCACCAAGGAGACTAGCTTCTGTGTCGCCCTACCAAGAGGGACAGTACCTACTCTGGAGTATCAGAGCCTCCTCTTCTGGGGAGTTAATTGCTAGAACCCAGAGGTAGGGAATTCTGCAGTAGGATTCAGACCCAGAGAGCACCCCAGCTGATCTCCTGTCCCTCTTCTACCTCTGAACCCTATCCAGTTTCTTCTGCTTGAACATACCCCTTCCCCAGTCTGCTCCCCTTCCCAGTTGGGGATATTTTCTAAGGAGGGGGGATGGAGAAACACCCTCCATAGCCCCTCCCCGACCCCAGTGATCCCAGGATCATCCAATCCCCCTGACCAGCATACCTCCCACTGCTTAACTGCCCATCTCCTGTCTGCAACACCCATGGCTTCTGCCTCCATCCCCTTCCCACTCCTGGGTGAGGGATAAGACCTGGGCCTAGCCAGGTACAGTAGGGAGGGACACCCTCCAAGAGCGAGGAGAGGCTTTGGCACCCTCTATCTCTAGTCCTAATTTCATGGCCCCCATTCTTCCAGAAGACACTCTACCCACCTATGCCACTGACCTGTCTCCCAGGCCAGCCAACTCACTCCGGCACCCCTATTCTGCCTCCCTTACCTGTGCCCCCAGGTCTTACCTGAAGGCCCTGGAGCTGCCAAGAAGCTTTGTCCCCACAGGCACTGATGTCCCACTGAGGAGGGGTGAGGTGAGTATGAGCACCCTTTACCCCACCCCTGCTGGGCCTGGCAGGGGGCCACCCCCTTCCCAGGCACCCTCACACCCAGGAAGATCTGGTTACTAATGGCTTGGGTCCAAGAGCAAAGGATGTCCACACCCTAGGACACTAGGACCTTATTTCTTCCCCTGCACCCGCCGCCAGTGCCCTCCAGGCCAGGTTGGGCTGGAGCCAGAATTGGGGGCAGGACTCAGTAGACCCAGATCTCAGCTGGAGATGCGGCACTGGGGTCTGCCAGCCAGAATGGTAAAGGCAGAAGCAACTTGAGACAGGTTAAGGGAGGAGAGACAGAAACATGCCTGAAGACCATTCCATACTGTCACTGGGGTCCTCAAAGGGTCCTGAGAGTGGGGTGACAGTGAGTACAGTGGGACCTAGGGGGATGGGGGCAGACAGGCAGGTCATCTTGAGCTGAGCCAGGTAGACATTTGCCTAGACACACACTCAATTTTGCCTATGTCCTACTGGCTGCACGGATGGGGTGCCAGGCTGGGCTTCCCCTTCCTGCCGCCGTCTTCCTGGCTCCCGGCCCAAGCCCCTATGGAGGAGGGGTGGCATGGTACCTTCCACTACCCATGCAAAACGGGCAAGTTCCTGCCAGACCCAGAACTAATTCCTATCTGTTAGCTCATCCATCAGACAGGGTTCTGTGCCAGGTGCAGTGGTGCCCACCTGTAATCCCAGCAGCTCAGGAGGATGACGCAGGAGGATCATGAGTTCAAAGCCAGCCTCAGCAATCAGAGGCACTAAGCAACTCAGTGAGACCCTATCTCTAAATAAAATACCAAATAGGGCTGGCGGTGTGGCTTAGCGGTTGAGTGCCCCTGAGTTCAGTCCCTTGTCCCCCACCCCCCCAAAAAAAAAGGTTTCTTGATGATGAGCTCAGGCCACGAGACCAGGATGGAACTGGAATGCCAAGGAGGAAAGAGGCGGGGGCTGGGACGCTGCACAGCCTCTGCCTGATTCTGAATTTTCCATAAGGCACTTGAGGTTTTAGTCCTGGCTCTCTCCCATGCCTGCCACAATTGCCATGATTGTCCCTGGCTGCCGCAGTCTGGCTGGGCACAATTCAGGAGCCACTTGTCAAAAGAAACAAACTTTATTTTTAGAACACACACACCTAAGGGCACAGCTCTTCAGGAATCCCCTCAGAGCCCAACTGCCACCACTGGCTTCCCACAAGCCTCTCAACCTCCCCCCCCCTTGAGGACGATTGGCTGGGTCGCGTGGGCGGAGCCAAAAAAAGTCCCCCAATGAGCAGCTCTGTGGTCTGAAAGGGCAGGGAAACAACCCAATGAGCATCACCACAGAGGAGCCAATCAGTTGGCAGCTAGAAGTTTGCTGGGGCCGTTGTGAGCCAATCATCAGCTGGCAGCTGAAAGTTTGCTGGGGCCCCTTCGGCTGTGGCTCTCAACATCTCCCCCTCTCTGTTTAAACAACCAGCATGTGGCTTAGGGACCATGCCTGCCTTAGGTTGTCCAATAGTACATATGGTCCTTACCATTCATCGGATGAGCTGACCTCAAGGCGTCAGCCTCCTGTCTTAGGTTGGTACCATTGCAATTGGATCTTACCCGTCATTGACTACCGGTCCAGCATACAGTCACACCTG